GGAATTTGGAAACAACAGGAGATGGAGGGAGAGTATGCAATTGGGAAGGAGGGGCAAAGCAAGGGAGGAAGGGGGGAATGAGGAGGAGACGAGAGTAGAGAAGAGCTGGTATGCTGCTGCTGCTGATGATGGATAGAAGCTGCCTCAGGGGCAGGAACATTGACATCAGCCATCGGCTGAGGAAGTAGATCAGATACAATCAACCATCAACGCACATTCATCTCGTAGTGTCTCCCACATTCCTTGCTCATACCTGCAGCACTCAACTCCCCTCAACTCAGAAACCCACCCTATACCCTCCCCCCCCTCTTCTGAGGCCCCTGCTCTGAAAAATTTAATGCAGAAGGCAAGGCAAAAAGGTTGCAGAGGACAAAGATTTGCCCAGAAAAGGGGGATTGCGGGGGGAGGGGGGGGGGTACAAACAAACAAACAAAATTGAAGTGATCTGAAACCAGCAAGCTAACAACATGCTTCCCGCCCACCCATGCCTACCTTTATTCTCTGAGCCAGCATTTTCTGCATTCCCCGTGCACGGATGAGGTCGGCAATGCTGTCCTCGTCCGAAAGCCGAAGTGCATCCCAGTCAACAACAGATTCCCTGCTACCAGCATCACCGGCTGAAGATCGGGACGGTGTCTGTTTGTGGGCCACCTCATCATCCGTATCATATTCAATTTTGATGAAATCTCTTCGTGCAGGCTGCAGTCCAAGATGTGGGTTGAACACAGAATTGGCATCAGGATTGGGATCGGGATCGGGATCGGGGTTGGGGTCGGGATCGGGATCGGGATCGGGATCAACTACGACTGTATCATCCCTGGGCAGCTCTGCTCTCACAGCTTCCTTGCACAGGCGGCACGAGCTCATTTGTTGTGCTTGTTTTTCTCGACTCCTTCGCTGGATGAATCGCATTCTTCGGCTGCACGCCCGACGCTCCTTCTCCCAGTCCATGGTCTCTTGCTTTCGCACCTTGCGCGTTTTCTTCGGCGCGGTGACATTCCATTCGATTCCGATAATGCGATCGTCAATGCCATTCTGATCTTCAGTTCCTTTTTGAGGTTGAGCCACAGCCAAGCCTTCTTGAGTCCCAACCTCCAGTCTGTTATCCCGATTTGCGCCGCAGTCGCTCTCATCGATCCACCCTCCTCCGTGGCTGTCGCTCTCAATGATCCACCCTCCTCCGTGGTTGTCGCTCTCAATGATCCACCCTCCTCCGTGGCTGCCGCTCTCAATGATCCACCCTCCTTGGCCCTTATCCCTCTCAGACAAGTGTTCGTCCATCTCCAGGCCTCGAAGCCGTTGTTTGCTTTGCAGATTCTGCTTTCCTTCCCCCGGCTGATGTAATATTGCTGAGCTGGCATAGCAATCTCTTAACCCACCTTTCGCTGCTGCATCTGCTGCATCTGACCATACAATCAGTTTATTGCACCCTATGTCTGGATAAGAGGCCTCCTCCTTTCCATCTGGGTCCCAACCTGATCCCTTTGGACTTTCGCGGATTGGGTCCCAAGAGTCCCAACCTAATCCATCTGGAGTTTCAATGATTGGCTCCCCGCCTGATTCATTCGGTTGGTTAGCGGCAGCGCCACCGTTGTCGAGCTCCAACTCCTCTGCTTGTGCAGCTTCTTGAAGTTCCTCCTCCTGCGACAATGCAAGCACTTCGCTGCAGCTCAGCATTTCTTCCCCTTGAGAACAACACGCGTCAATCTCTCGATCAGGCACCACCGTCATTACCTGGGCCTCTTTCCTGACCTGGTTTAAATCCAACACTTCCGGTTCAATCTCGTCCAACCCTTCTGCAGAGTGTTCAAGCGACCACAGGCCTCTCTCTCCATCAGGCACCTGATTCGGGACCTGGTCCTCTTTTTCAACCTCATTCAAATCGAACCCCATGTCTCTCTCTCGATCAGGCCCCAACTTCGTAACCCACACCCCTTTTGCAACTTGATTTAAATCCAACACTTCTCGTGCGTCGAGCTCGTCCAACCCTTTCGCAGATTGTTTAAGCGAACACAGGCCCATCGCTCGATCCTGGTGCTCTTTTCCAACCTTGTTCAAATCGAACCCCATGCTCGTCGCTCCATCATGCACCCCCGTTGTAACCTGGTCCTCTTCTCCAACCTGGTTCAAATCCAACCCTTCTGGTTCAAGCTCGTCCAACTCTTCCATGAAGTCTGCAAGTGAACATAAGTCCATCTCTTGATCAGGCACCTCCGTAGGAACCTGGTCATCTTTCCTTGCCTGGTGCAGATCCAACTCTTCTGGCTGGAAATTCGACCAAATGCTCTCCTCGTCACCTTCAAAACCAAACCCTTCTCCAACCTCTCGTTCAAGCCACTGCCATGATGCGCCCCTCTCTAGACTAGGCGACTTCTTTCGAACTTGGTCCTCTTTTCCAACCAGGTTGAGATCCAGGCCTCCCCGCCAAAAAACGGATTTGTTATCATCCTCAACCTCCAGCTCGTCCGCAAACTGTTCAACTACAGAACATGCGCCGTCCATCTCTTCATCGGCCAGCACCTCCTTGGGAACCTCGACCTCTTTTTTTTTTTGAATCCGTATCAGATTGAGACCTTCTGATTGGATAACAACGACGTCGTCCTCGCGCTCCGACTCTTCAAGGCAACACTTGTCTCTCTCTTGATCCGGCAACGCATTTGGACCTTGGTCCTCTTTTGCAACCTGGTTCGGATCCAAGCCTTCTGGTTGCGAAACAGCTTCATCTTTGAGCTCTACCTCTTCTTCCAACTCTTCTTCCAGTCGCGATTCTATCTCTTCGAGTCCTTGAATCTGGTCCCGATTTGCATTGCTCGATTGGGGAGATTGCTGTTTGCTTGGTTCCTCCTTCCTGAAATCTGCGGACTGTGATTTGCAATTGTACCCCCCTTCCGACCCCTCATCAATTTTGAACTTGTCCTCCTCTTGCTGTCCGAACCCAGCAGCAAGCGCTGTATAGGAATCTCTGCAGAAATGCATTCCGAAATAAAATAAGAACCACAGAGACACATCTGCACCAAATTGCCACCAATCTTTCTTTTTTTTTTTTTTTTTTTTTTTTTTTTTTTTTTTTTAAACCCCCTCCGGGCCCTCCCCCATTAAACGGCGTTTACCAAACAAATCAATCCTCCAACTAAGAACGGCCATGCTGCACCACCACCCATAGAATCAAGAAAGAGCTCTCAATCAGACAAGAAAGGGGAAAAAAAATACAGAAGCTGTACTGCACATCTTCGGGTACGATACCCAAGGAAGCACTGCTTTGGGAGGGGAGACTGTGGAGGGGTAGAGAAAGTAGAGGAGTAATAAATAACACACAAATCACATGTGCAGAGAAGGATGGGAGGAGGAGGAAGTCAAAGATGAGGTAGTAGACAGAGGGAGACAAAGGATTGGAGGCTGGGAAGGAGTAAGAGGTGGGGAATATGAAAAAAAAAAAAAAACAGAAATAGAGATGTATCATCATACTATCATGTATGGAAAAAAAAAAAAAAAAAACAGAAAAATTTAATAGAGATGTGAAGTTCAGGAAAACAGCTAAGGGAGGAGGAGGAAGAAAAAGGAGGAAGAGAGGAGGGATCCTGTTTCTCTTTTGGAGGAGGAGGAGGGGGAGGAGGAGGAGGTATCTCTGACAGTGCTGTCATCAATGCAAAAAAAAGTGTAAAGTAGAAACATGGACAAGGGACCAATCATAACAGAGGACGACAAGCAGGCAGTCATTGGATATGACACTGTGATGGAATAGGGTTGGGTAGAGGATAATACAAGCCTATTACAAGGGTACCAGTCAAAAACAAAAACAAAAAACAGGGGTGCCAGTAAGAGACGTGTCCCAGAGTCTGCACAGGGAAATGCGATTACAATGGAATGTTAGAATGTTCACATGATCGTCCTTCGGGACATCCGTGAAATTTGGAACGACACAGAGAAGGGTAATTAGCAAAATGGACCCTGCGCAAGGATGACACACATAAATCTAGAAATGATCCAAAAAAAAAAGAAAAAAAAAGAATGTTCACATGATCCCCTTAAGTGTTTCAAACTTTTTTTTTTTTTTTTTTTTTTTTTTTTTTTTTGCAGACAGTGCCGTATGATTCAGGAACTCCGGCCTGCTTGATACGACGGCCGCTTTTGAATTACACAGGCCGGGAAACGGGTCCGGCATCCCTCACATCATTGAAAAGTTTACAGAGAGCAATAATCCCAATGTACACTGCGAACCCCACATCCATTCCAGGGTTGCACTACAAATTTAGCGAAATAGCAAAGTCCTAATTGTACACAATGCAGATGTCCTAATGACAAAACAGCAGAAACCAACCTTACAAGAGCAAGGCCAATTAGCAACAGACTCACAGAATCAACAAATCCACTAAGCCAGTGATGATGAAGCAGGTTCAGTGCCTCCACACATCCACACAGTTCTGCATCCGAAGTCCTTATCAAAGAAGAAAGGTTTCTGCATCCGAAGTCCTTATCAAAGAAGAAAGGTAGAAAATTTAAGCTCCGGGCGCATTGCAGGCTGCTCTTGGACCGTCAGCAGGCCTGAAAAGTCCTGCCATCTGGTTACAAATCGCTTTGTTGATTTGGCTGTGAAGCCTTCGTTCTGCACTTTGTGAGTCCAGTCGGTGTGGATTGCCTGTTTGATCGAGTACTTTGTTTCCGCCCGGGCCATTGGAGGTGTGATTCTCTATCCTCTTCTGGTTGCTGAATTCCGCAGCGTCCATAGTGTCCAAAGGATGGCAGCTCTCAAGGTTTCCTCTGCATAGGCCAGCTGTCCCGGTTCTTGCGTGCGTCGCGACGCTGCCCCTATCAAAATAAAATCATCAGAACTTTTCTTCTTCTCCCTAATCAGAGAAAAAAAGGTAAAAAAAAAAGGTACCCTTTGGGCCATCTGAAAAAGGAGATGTGCAAAATAACATTCGAAGACCCAACTCTAACCCAGACAACCCCCACCTCCTCATCACAAAACAGATCGCGTAAACTGAGATCCATGCCCTCTGAAACAAAACACGGAAACAACTTCAGGAAGTTTTTCAGACCAAAAATCAGAGTTTTTTTTTTTTTTTTTTTTTTTTTTTTTTTTTTTGAGACGAACAAACAGAACCTTACAGGTTGTGGCTCCTTCCCATTCTGGGAAGTGTCAGTCCGGTTCCTATTCCACCGGCAAGTCAGAAATACAGATTACAAAAGAGGCCAAGAGATGTGTGGGCAGGGACCTTAAAGTTTGTTTGTAGACCAGTAAGGCTGAGCGCCGAGTGGGGGATCGATCCTGAGACCTGCCACCCAGTTGTATTGGTTCTTAGTACTTTTACTAAGTTTTTAGTTCTTTTGCTCATTCAGAAGTACATATAGGATCTAATTTTCTTTTCGTCATTTCGATAGGTAGCATCGTTTCGATCCGGGGACCTTCTTTTGAAAAATTGGCTGTCGTTTGTATCACGATGAATACCGGAAAAGTCTAGAGACCGCGCGTTGGGCGCGGATGTTATTTTCATAGGTAGACATCTGCTGGAGGGATCCCGACACCAATACCAGCTGATACGTCTCTTGTTGACTGTGTTTGGACCACTTGGACTTGACCCGGTAGTATGATGGCAGTATGCGAGTAGTAGCAGGATGTAGGAAGGACCCTTTAAACTCAGAGCAGATCCTTAAATATAGAGTGGGCGTGAGTGTTGTCCTCTTACAGGTCGAATGGTACTCGCTCAACGCGATCATCTGGATGATGGCGCAAGGTGAGGGCGGGAGTTGTGGTTAGTGGCAAGGGGATGGAGTCAGTGAAGGGGAGACGGCCGGAGGAACCCCACCGAGGATGACAACATGGCGGCTGTCGAAACGTGGCGTCGGGGACGCCCTACCTGTAATACTGTGTTTCATTGAGTGATTTCTACGCACACTTTGATCGCTTGTCTCATGTGTATATCATGCTGACGTGTGAAGTTTCCTTCAGTTTGCTATACCATGCGTGCATGTGCATCGATGGCAGCCAAAGGAAAAAGCCTTTACTACTTAGTAGCAGTCACGCTCTAGGGTGGAAGTCTCAACTCGTCTTCCAGGTTTGACGAGTCATCCGTATTCGTAGATGCAGGAAGGTGTACAGCTGGCCCACAGAACAGATCCTGTTCATTTCCCGGGCGGCCCGGTCGTGCAAGGACCAGCTGGGGAAGGTCCCAGCAAAAAAAAAAAAAAAAAAAAGAAGGGAAATCTCTCACTATCCTGGTCTCCAGTCGCTCCCACCCAGTAAGGGGACTCTGTTGACTAACCTAGTACCCACTAAAACCCTAAACCCCTGTACTAAGTCTTATTCCCCTGTCGATAAAAAACCACGCAAGATGTCCTTCGGGACATCCGTTAAAATTGGAAGGATACAAAGAAGATTTGCATGGCCCCTGCACAAGGATGACACGCATAAATCGAGAAATGGTCGGGGGAAAAAAAAAAAAGAGCACGCAAGACGCTAGCTCTCGAGTTCATTGAAGCCCCGACGACGTCTGTCATCCTTACTTCTGAGCCTCCAATCCATCCCTGTCCCCTCAGCCCTCTCCACATAAGAGCAACAAATTTTGCAGACCAAGACACAGCAGAAGCTGCACAAGTGATAACAACGAACTTGTACCGGTAAGGTTAGTGATGCTCAATTGGCCTCAGCAGACAGCAGACCGGAAATGAGCAAGGCTCTAGGTCCTCACTCAAATCAGTCAGATAGAGCAGCCGACGAGGAGCAGTCAGAGTCCGGTAAAGGACCAACCCAAGACCAGACATAGCAGTCAAGTCGGAAATGAGCTCAGCAGACAGCAGACTGGAAATGAGCAAATGCAGCATAGGAACTGAGGCAACAGGTTCACGAGCTAGTCAGGCACATTGTTGGCACGCCATAGTCAGAGGGACATTGTTGGCGCGTCATAGCAGAGGAATGAGCTTGGGGCGGTCCCGGACATCCGATCCGGTAACATAGTAAATTAATAAATATTAAATAATAAATAATAAAATAAAGTAATAAAATATAATATAATCGAAATAATCGAAATAAGGAAATAATAAAATAAAATAATAATACAATAGAAATAATAGAAAAAATAAAATAAAACCCTAAACCAATTAAATACAATAATAAGACTAGCGGGCTTAGCTCAGTTGGTAAGGCACACAAGTGGCATTCAGGAGGTCTTGGGTTCAATCCCCATTGGCCTCATGCACCTTCCTGGGCAAGCTTGGCGCCCGCCACCTAGAGATATGCCGTTGGTCCCCCGAGTGGCATTGAGCAGAGACTGCTGATGTTCATAGGGGCAGGGGACCGGAGGGGAGGCACAGTGACTGGCCCATCGAAGACGCTCGGTCCTGATGCTACTGGCTGACCCCTGGCCGGTATCGCCCACCTGCTGTAGCAGGTATCGCACCTGCTGGCGGGTGCAGCTCCCGCATGTTCTCCCGTTGGATGCTAGAGCACGGATGTGGCTGCTACGGGGTTCCCCGTAATACTATAATGACAATAAAAAAGGCCTGAAAGGCCGTCCTGTCCAGATTTGTCAGGTAATTGAATTGGTTGGGCTTAAAGAATTAGCCTTTTTTTTTTTTTTTTAATACAACAATAATATTAGTCATAACAATAGAATGTTAGATAGGAAAGGCTGGTCCTTCATTGGAAAAAAAAAAAAAAAAGCAGCACAGAGAGCAAGTAAATGAGGCATTATACCCTGCTGAGAAATATTGTTTCCGTTTTTTTTGGGGGGCGGAAATGACAGACATGACGTTCCTCTATATGCGATGCAATTTAGCTTGGCCCCACGCTGACCCACACTGGAATCATCATCAGACAGATTTTCTAGATGCAATGAACTTCAGCTTGGCCTGGACTGTTATGCTCAGTCCTCATGGAGCTGGCAATGCAACCAACAAATTATAGAATAATTTAATTTAAAAACAATTCTCGTAAATTATACAATTCCAGATAAGCTCTGCACAACACAACTTAGGTAATTGGAGATGTGCAGCAGGAGGGAGGGACTTCAAAAAAAATGCATTCGGACTCAGACTCTAAGGTAGAGGGGGAATCCAAAGGTTGGGAGGGATGCAGGCCACTAACCGCAGGTTGAGTTTGCGCTTAAATGCTTCAGAAAGAACCATGTATGAAGAACTGCGGAGGAGAGCGTTGGAAGAACCATAATCAGCAAATAACAATGACAACAACAACAATAACAACAACAACAACAACAGCAGGTGATGCTCCCCACCAATAGATTGGAGCTTTGATGTTAACAACAACAACAACAACAACAACAACAACAACAACAACAACAACAACAACAACAACAACAACAACAGCAATGACAAGGACGGCGATGAAGATGACGACGATGATGGTGAACGTCATTACAACGAGGAATGACGATGGCGGTGATGATGGCAACTATGATGAAAAAGAGGAGGACAGCAACAACGACAACAATAACGACAATGGCAATGTGGAACGAACAAGTTCCAGAAGAAGCTTATAACCGGTTTGCAGCCATGACAATAAAGTTGGTTTTGCCATGGGGAAAAAAAACAAAAAAACTATGAAAAACAATTCAAGGAATTCCTTATGAGACAGGAAAAAAAAAAAAAAAAGAAGGAATTCCTTGTGAGACAGACACAGTGACTGTCAATAAGGTCCAACCCCCCCATCAACAAAGATAGACGAAATGGACTCAATAAGAAGAAGATGACAGAAGTTTTACTTGTCATGGTGGCATCACCTCTGCCCCCACAGACTCGATAGAACAAACCCAAGGCTACTCAATCCTTCTCTACTCACACGCCACTCACATTCAGGAGTTTCTCCGAGTCTGCTCTACCATTCTTTAAATACCAATATCTAAGAGTTACTTGCTACGCACGGGCAGCCTCAGTGGATACTTCCCGTCTAGGCCTCCACACCACTGTATTACACCCAGATTTTTGAGAGTCCCCCCGTAGCGCGAAATCGCACCTACATTCAGGGGCTCAGTCCGTACCACTGCTGCTCAACAAAATTCTGTCCCGCCAATGGCGCGACCAGTCGCTACTGCAGGTTTTAGAATCCAGGCGCCCACTCCTTTTTTTTTTTTTTTTTTTTTTTTTTTTTTTTTTTTTTTTTTTTTTTTTTTTTTTTTTTTTTTTTTTTTTTCGGTCCACTCATATCGTATGCATTTTACATTACAGATTTCAGATTTTAGGAACATCAATGGCCACAAGCGAACAATTGGGCTAAGAGGGACCTTGCCCTTTTTTTTTCTTTTTTTTCTTTTTCTTTTTTTTTTTAACCCCAAAGATCCTGCTAGGAGAGGTGATACGCGCATCCCCCTCTAGCAGGTTTCCTGGTTATTCCAACCTATTGGTGGGGAGCTGCACTTGCTGGAAATCGGGTACAGAACCCAATTAAAAAAAAAAAAAAAAAAAAAAAAAAAATCGGGTCCAGCGTCCCATTTTACATCAAACAGATATTCAGAGGATTAACTGCGCAAGGGTACCGCCTTCATAAGTGTCTACACTGTCTAGCAAACAATCAGGCAATAAACAGATTGCACCTTCCCCCCCACCCCTCCCCCTTTTTTGTGAAAGAAGAGGACCTTATATGCCTGGCTCCGTTCTATTCCACCTAAAACTTTTAGTCAGCTGAATCTGAGCTGGTAATTTCCTACACTGAACAGAGAAACTGCTTAGTACAGAAGGGTGTTCGTCCTTTGGGGACCACATGCAAAGATCTGCAAGAGGGGGGTGGGTGTGGGTGTGGGTGTGTGGG